GCAACAAAAACATTTGGGAAGAAGTATATTAAAGAGCTGCCTCTTACTTGGCCACGGCTGAACTCTTCACTGTCACTGAACCAAGACTTTCCCAGCTTAGCAGATTCACTGAAGAAAATCTTCCCACTCTGCACCCAACCGGGTGACCCTGACTGACATGGTGGGAAGCAGATTCTGTGACTGGAAAATTCAAATCTAAAGGAGTTTAATTCTTTAAGAAGTATAATTGGTTTCTTAACAATCTCAACCTTTACATGTCTTAATTACTTAGTTGACAGACTCAGGAGGGTATCCTGCTCACCTTCCAAGCTATCCTGGGGAAAACCAGAAAGGACAAGATTGCATGAAGATCCCCATCCAATGGGAATGCCCTGATCTTTCTACCCTGCTTGGTCTGTGGATCTGCCTTCAATAGTGTGAGAACATTTGGCCCATTAACTCAGTTTTTCTTTCTCTATAGGAGTTTACTTACCTGCTAAGAATTTATAATATTTTCTGTTCTTATTTCAGATTTTCACCATCTGCAGTGTTTTGATTTGTTTCATAATTGACTGATTTTAACTGAGGTCAGATTAGAGACCAAAGTGCGGAAGTATTTCTTTATCACATGTTAGAAATTTCCAAGGATTTTTCTCAGGATTGTAACTTTGTAAAAACTACAGAAAAAGGAAGCTGCATACCAATTCCATTCACAATGATATGGACCACATGAATGACATAATATTTGCTTTAAAAATTTTTGCAGCCATAGAACACACTCCAGCAACACGTACAAACTGACCTGAGGACTGGTGCCAGGCTATACAACCATTGCTACCTACTGATAGTGAAATGAAACTGCCCTACAGCTCATTGTTAGGAAGATGAATGATGTTTGCCTGACATCAGCGTGTTACATGCCTGCAGTTCTAACTCCCATTAATCTTCCTGAGCACACATTTATACTGAACCACAAGGACCAGCTGAGCTTTAAAACATTAACTCAGTCTCCGACTAGGGCTGCTTCTCTGCACTTCCACATCATTGTCACTGTGATTTAATATCAACAGGCAGAAAATTTAGAGGTCCCCTGTTAATGCAGTGATCTGTGTTTTTAAGATGGTGATTATCGGATGCCAAAGGGAGAAAAAGGGAAAACCTCTCCCTTATATATTGGCACGATCAAGTTGAAAGTGAGGGCAGAATTTTCCAGTTTTTGGTAGGGAAGTTTAGTGGAGGGAAGCCTGCGGCCTACCTTGTTTACAAATCCCACTGGATCACATGTCAGCAAGACAGCTGATTGGCCAGAGATCTGATCTGAGGTGGTGGGAGATCACAGAGAAAGGGAGCACAGGGAGGTTGGAAGTGAGGACAGGTGAGTGACTCTCAAAAGCTACTCCCTGTCCTAAATTAGAGCAGATTGAGAGAGACCCTTCCCCAAACTGACAGCCTGCCTGCATTGCCCAACCACCAGGCAAGTAGGCTGGTTCATTCCCATCTAGCCAGGAGCTGAAGTAATTGAAGCGAAGGAGGGATGAAGCACTAAAGTGGGCCTCCCTGCACTTAAGAGGCAGTTGTCAACCCATCTGATAATTTGCCCCCTTCCTCCAACCTTCCCCAATGTTTCTTGTGAGAAGAAAATTCCACCCTATCTCGCATTTTCTGGAAGGAAAACCGATTGGGATTTCATACAAATCTGACAAATGCTAGATGCATATCCTCAAACTATGAAGCAGGATTTGAATTAACGTTTGGTTCATCATCCATTCAGTGTTTGGGTACAATTCGTAGTGATGTGTATTATTTGTGGCTCAGTTGCCAGCCTTCTTGTCTCTAAGACCAGAAAGATGTGGATTAAGTTCAGTCCCAGGATTTCTGTATAACAATATACGCTGACACTTTAGTTCTGTCTTGAATGAGGTACCAAATCAAGCTTCCGGTCATAAGCCAAAAGACCCTATAGAACTACAGCAAACCTTTTTTCAACTGGCAACTATGGGACCAGGATTGTGCTTGTTGATCGAATATTCCAGATAATCAAGAGATACACATAACTGCAGTAAACCCTGAAAAAGCGAAGCTTCAATACATCAATGTCCCTCAAAAAATCAATGTAAAAATATCAACACACCTCCTAAAATCAATGTAAAAACACACAGTAAGTAATAGAAACATAATGTAGCGGCTATGAACATCACTGTTGCATTTTATTTACAACATAAATGCTCAGACATCTCGGTAGATTGTGGTTTTGAGGTATGTCATTTTTTTGCCTTTATCAAGACTGCCTGTTGATAAGTCCAGTTAAAGCAAAGTTTGCTGTACTTTGAAGCTGAGTGGTAGTTGTAATCTATGCCAGTTTTTTAGTTTTTATCCCACAGTCAACATCGCAACAACAGATTATCTGGTCATTATCACATTGCGGTTTATTGCTGAAAAGATGCCAACATTTCTTGTCTTGCACACATCAGGACAAATGCAAGAATGCCAGATTTCAAATGCTCACAATTTATGTCACAGGAGAAAAGGGTTCTGATTGGTCAGCTAGTGAATTCTGTTTGGCTGAGGCACTATCATGCAAAAACCAACAGGGAACAATATTGCTTAATATTACTGTTTGAGAGTTTGCTGTGTACAAATTAGCCACTGTATTGTCTACTTTACTAAAGTGACAACACTTTTAAAAGTATTTAATTGGCTGTAAAGCACTTTGGGATGTCTAGGGCTTTTGAAAGATTCACCTCTTTCTTAACTACAGCTGATCATAACTGTACCTATGGCAACTTGTTAAAAAAAAACTACTAATTGCATCAAGACAGCTGAAACAAGTAAATCGCTTTGTAGACAAAAATGTCATCCCCAAATATAATAGTTTAGAGAATCCACTCAAACTGACAAGGATCTAAAGATACTCCCACTCCCTCTTACCTCCGGTAGAAGAGACCAGCAGATTTATTTTTGCATGGAATAAGCAACTTCTGAACACATCAGAAATTAAATGATCATGATATTATGGCTTGGAACTGGATGCTTTCAAGTGATCAGTGATCCATAGGGCTGTTGGTAATATGAGCGCTGGCTTCTGATATTAAATTGCCATCCATATTGGCAAACCTTTGACAGCAACTTAAATATTGAGCAAAGGAATCGAATACTTAACAAAATAGTTGAGTTGACCGAAGTTGTGGCCTCTTACAGCCAATCTGTGCTCACAATTATGAGACAGTTTTCCCGAAGGTTTGTATACATCTTGTGTTTATGTGAGTCAGCTGAAGTGTGCACTGGTGCCTTGATTACAAGTGGCTTTTACCTCTGAAACAGAAGATTGTGGGTTCAAATCATGCTTCAGAACTTGTACACAAAAATCTAGGCTGATACTAAAATGTAGACTGTTTGTGAGGTTACCTCTAGATTAAACCAAGACTCAGTTTGCCCTCCCAGGTGGCAGTAATGTATCCTGTGGAAATATTTTGAAGAAAAGTGCGGAAGTTATTCCTGGTAAATACTACATCACTAAAACTGATGGTCTAGTTATTATCACATAATTGTTCTTGGGAACTTGCTGTGCACAAATTGGCTGCCATGTTTCAGATAATATAACAGTGTCTACAATTTAGAAGGACTTCATTGGCTGAAAAATGTGAGGATTTATCTTGACGGGCACTATGTAAATGAAAGTTATTTTTCTTTTGTTTGGTTATTATTAGCACAAGGACTGATGCCGTGAGCAATAATGTGATACTTTCATCATGAAAACAATCCTGTTCAATGTGAGAATTAATTCAAGCTATGGTGACTGTGCGCAGTGTAGTTTTCATGGGATCTCAATGCTTTCTGGAATGGAATGTCATTTTCTCCAAATTACTGCAGTTGGGGATGAAATTAACTGTCAAGTGAAACAATGGATTGCTTTTGGTAGGGGAACAAATGCTTTCTGTTATGAGCATTTGTTTTACAAGTAATCAGCTAAATTAATTGACACTAATGCTCATTAGATGTATATTTTTAACATATTTGTTTCTGTGCTAAGTCAGTTGACCTAAGTTAAAAGAAAGTTGGACTGTTAGACCAGTGAGGAAAACTACCAAGCAGGTTTCCTATGTTCTACTGAAATTCGTTGACATATGTTGCACTTGTATGGATGTTGCTTTGTACAGGAACTGGTTGAAGTGTGTCTCTCCACTTTCAGATATATCGTCAAACCTGTAAGCAATTATATAAGGAAAAATAATTATGAAGAATGGCTAAGTATCAGAGGAGTGCTCATGCATTTAGAGACATGTCTTGTTGCAAGTTTCTACCTGAGAAAAGCAGGGATTTATTTTTCAAGTTTCACTTCACAATTACTTAAATACGCTGAATCAAAACTAAACAGATCAGCATCTTTATTTTTTTTTCGAACATTTGAGGGAGACCCATGAGCAAAAAGGAAAATTGAATTGTGGTTAACCATTTTTAAAAAAAAGCCGCATCAGGAATATTCCTCACAGTTACTCCCGCTTCATTACCAGAAATTGCTTATGTGCATAAGTGAAGCTACATTCATATCTACAAATGTTTGGTAGCAGAGCAGCTCCAAGGATGTTCCTGACTTGTATTAATGTGGCCCTTATACACCAATTGTATCAACCTCTTCAAATATAGATGCAATGGACATTACTTGGAAAAGAAGCTTTTATTCTGTCGATGGACATGTTGCTATTTTCTTTGTGATTATTGGCTATTTCTTGTTCATCTTTATTTATGCGCACCGCCCATTCTTTTAGGTCACCGTAAGCGCAGGCACTTACAGTTTTTCACCATAATGTGACTTTATCATACGAATCTATTACACATTTGTAAGATCTCTGTTTCACCTTTACTTCTTTGTGACGACATATATAATCATATGAATTTCAAGCATTATGAGAGGCAGGCAAGCAGAGGGACAAATCCAATAAGGGAAACAACAGGGCAAAGAGTAAAGCGACATAACAACATAACATCTTTTCTCATTATCCCCCCACCCCACCTTACCCCAGATCAAAAATCCACAAGCAAAAACTGCTCTTCGTGTCATGAAGTCTCCCAGTTTGCACAAGAAATCATTGACTTGCAGAAAGAGTTTGAAGAAATGCAGCAGCTACTTTTGACTCAAGAGCCTGCTCTGGATGAGACTGTCCAAAACCACTTGACCCTTTTGACTGACAACAGACGACTAAATAAGGAGGTTATCCATTATACAACGTCGATTGAACAGATCAACCAAACAGTACAAAGTGTTTCAGTCCAAGTAAATGGATTGCAAGTCCTTATTAAGGAACTTGATGAGTTTATGAGGAAACTGACCCAGGACCAGTACAAAATAAGGATTAGTGTGCAACACATTAACTTCACCACCAACCAGAATACATTATGGCTCGAAGAAATTCAAAGGAAAGCCGATGAGGAAACTTTAATATTACAGAAGATAGTGGCAGACTGGCAGAACTCCTCAAAATTGTTTGGAGGTCTAAAGACTTCTGTGAGCAAGATGAATGATGTGGTGAAAGGTATTCAGAGCACTCTGGCCACCACACTGCAAAGAGTCTCCCAAAATGCTGAGGTCATGCATGACTTAAGCTTGCAACTGCTGGTGGTGCATGAGCAGTTTGAAAATATATCCACCTTCCTTGATGACCATGAAGAACATATTCAGGACATTCTTTATCATGCAAGGTATTATGAAAATAGGACAGCTGAAAGGTTTGAAACCATTATGGGGCGAATGATTTCCCATGAAACTGAAATTAACACCATACTGGCCAACATCAATGCTACAAACAATCATGTACACAGTATGATAAAGTATATCAGCGATGTGAGGACATCTTGTTCAAGTGGGCTTGGAGCACATTCAGACGAACTTTACCATCTCAACAATTCCCTGACCATTATTCAGAGCAGGACTGATATATTAAGGCAGCAGTATAATCTCCTAACAGCAACAGTGAATGGGGAAATAAGCAAGCTTGCTGTTGTAATGGAAGAAATGAAAATTGTTGATGCACAACATGGAGAGGCGATCAAAAACGTCACCATTTTAAGAGGTGAGCAGCGTTTACTCGTTTTGAAACATTATATGACATATTGTAACTGCTGTGTTAAATTTTGTAGTCACTTTGGCTGAAGGTGCTTGTGTAGAATACAAAATACCAAACCTCCAGGATTGCTTGGAGTCTCCAGGAAATTGAGATGAATCTGCTGTACAATAACCCATGGAAAAGAAATCACAGGGACACTTTATTAAAAACCATGCACTTTTGTTTACCAGTATAAAAATATTAGGTGTAAGTAAAGCCTGATTGATAGTCCATATTCTGCCATTTGAGTCATATAGCTGTTACAGCCAGGTGAGGAGGAATGGATTGTTTGTCCTATTTTAACTCCCCCACCCCCTGAGTTAGCCACAACAATCATTTTGAATTCATTTTAACACATGCCTGTATGTTAGATCACCAGTCCAAAATTAAATAAACTAATAATATGGGTTTCTTTTATTACTTGCCAATTCAAAGAAAATAATACCACACCAGGTTATAGACCAACATGTATTTTCAAATAAACCCGTTGGTGGTAACCTGGTGTCACGATTTCTGACTTTGTCCACCCCAGTCCAACACCGGCACTTTGACATCAAGAAAATAATAAACTATGACATCAAAGACACCCACAAACACAGAAAGAAAACATACAATGGAGAGAGTGTCTACTACAAGAAGGAAGATTTTAAACAAAAACAGAATTTTAAGGTCCTTAGAATTTTTGAGGTGTTAGGTTTTAGTATGAGTCTAGAGCTAGTTAATTGATCTTGTATTCACAACAGTAGTGAAATTCGCCTTTTAAGTTCTCAGTGAATGGATGGTTCTACAATTTGCTTGGTCATCATGAATTGCCTTGTGAGAGGTTAAGGGAAAACAAGGAGAGAGTGAGTCTTCCAGTTCTGCTTTTAGAAACCGATTTTCTCCTTTCTCTCTGCCCAAAAGCAATTAATTTAAGTACAGATAATTTGTGTATTCCCATGTCTGGTTTCATTGTTTTACCAAGCTGGATCATTTGCAAAAGATTTCTATCTCCAGTATGTGAAACCTATTATGAAAGGTGCAACTCAAACAAGATATGCAAATATGAATGATTGGTTTCAATAATTTTAAATTCACATAATTTTCAGTTCAGTCAGGTTCTTATGTTTATTGATGATTTCGTGAGCTTGGCTTAACCTGGTCAGGTGTTCACTGCGGCCATCTTAAGTCAGTGTTTTTCCTTTTTAAAAATATTTTTAATTCTTGAGAGGTTTCAGATCAGATCAGATGATGAAAGTTGAAAACTGGAAGTCTAGTTTTACCACTTCCAAAAGAAAGTACTTTCCAATTGACTAAGCACCAGGAGAATTGATGTACCAGGTGACTAATGACAGGAATGGTTGGGTGGGGCATATGGCAGCAGGAAGTCAAGTGATGACATCTCCATAAATATGTGCAACCAGCGTCGTCAACCGGAGTGTAGAATGGGTAATTGGGGCCAGGAAATAGAACAGTCATTGCACTCATTAGATGGCTGCCTACTTAGACGTAGACATGGAAAGGATGTTTCCTTTTGTAAGTCAGTCCAGAACCAGGGAGCCCTTCAACCTTTTAGGAATTTTTTAGAATTTCTTTTTTCACTCAGAGGTTTTGTGATTTTGAAACACTGCCTAAGATGCTGATGAAAGTGGGGTCATTGAATATGATTAAGACAGAGGTGGATCAATTCTTGTTAGGTGGGGAATCGATGTTAGTCGGGGATAATGAAGACCTTGAAACAGAAACAGATTAGCTATGATCTTACTGAATAGTGGAGCAGGCTTGAGGGGCCAAATGGTCTACTTCAGCTCTTATTTCACATACTTGTATACGTGTTTCTCCAACTAATGCCACATATCTACTACACATCCGTTTTTGTTTTCTACTCTGTGTATTTCTTTAACATTTTCCACTACCATAAAGTGCTAATTTGTTCCACAGTTATTAATGGGTTATCATTTCTGTCACAACCAAAGATATTTGCAATTAGCTTGTTTATCTCCATCCCTACATAGTAGATATTACAACGTTGCAACGTCATTCAGTCTTGTAATTTTATAAGTATGAAAATCATAGTCCATATAAACAAATAGTATCTTTGAATATTAGTTTTCTATTTTGGGCCAAATCTTCTGACTAGTCAGTAGGGATGAGATAAGAAGCAGGAATGCTGTTTTGTTAAGCAACATGGTGCATTTGCAGCTCCATGAGAAATAAGTGCAAGGTCAACTTTCCTACCCTATTGTTAATTGAGTCCTGAAATAGTAACTAAGGATCACTTAAAGTCCTCATCCTGCTAAAATAACTCTACAGAGGCCAGTACCCCGTCACCAAATCATCCTTTATTTACACGTGCATAGACCTTGTCAGTGGTCCGGCTTCCTCCGAGCCAACTCTCAGTGAACAGAACCTCTGACACCTGTTTATTTCTGTCAGTCAGGGCTCCCTGACTGGGGCTGTAAATCTGGTCCAATCAGGGAACTCCTATTCTATCAGATCCACCTGGCTGACCTTATTGCAGTCACTATGCCTGCCACTACTGGGGAGGCAATGACCGGATGGTACTAATGCTAGACTGTTAACCCGGAATATCAGCTGTTCTGGGGGCCTAGGTTTGAATCTCGCAGATGGTAGAATTTAAATTCAATGAAACAAATCTGGAATTAAGAATCTACTGATGACTGTGAAACCATTGCTGATTGTCAGGAAAACCTTATCTGGCTCACTAATGTTCTTCAGGGAAGAAAATCTGCCATCCTTATCTAGTCTGACTTACACGCGACTCCAGACCCACAACAATGTGATTGACTTTCAGCTGCCTTCTGAAGTGGCCTAGCAAGCATCTAGGGGTGGGCAGTCAACGATGCCCATGAGTGAATAACAAGGAAGTTGCTGCAATGGGCTAACAGACAACCTGCGTTCCCAGGGGCAAAATGAATGAGGGCTGGTGGAGGGGGCTTTGGGTTAAAGACACTCAGTGCCTGATTAAAGACGTGGACATAGGGAAGAGGGCTGGCCACTAAGAACCATCACATTTCCCTTGCATTTAAAATGCCCTGCTCTCCTCATCCATGGTCTCCACTCCTGAACCTCTCCCCCCAGCCCCACAGCCAACACCACACTTGCCCCAACCTGCTCAAATCACTTGGAGACAGTAACAGCTGCAGATGCTGGAAGCTACAGTCAATAAACATGGAGCTGGAAAAGCACAGCCGGTCAGACAGCATCCGAGGAGCAGGAAAGTCAACATTTCGGGCCAAAACCCTCCTTCAGAACTGGGGTGGGGGAGGGGAGCCCAGAAATAAATAGAGGGAAGGAGCAGGGCTGGGGGTGGGGAGAGAGGGGTAGGTGAAATGGAGATAGGTGGATGCAGGTTGAGGGTTATAGTAGTTGGTCAGTGGGAAGGGTAGAGCAGATAGGTGAGTAGGAAGACGGATAGGTTGGGGGTGGAGAAATTTTGAAGCTGGGTCTGTAGATAGGGGAGTTATTGTAGTTGGTCAGTGGGAAGGGTGGAATGGATAGATGAGTCAGAAGATGGATAGGTGGGGGGAGGAGAGATTTTGAAGCTGGTAAAGTCATTATTAAGGCCATTGGGCTGTAAGCTCCCAAGGCAAAATATGAGTTTGGCCTCACTGTGACAGTGGAGGTGGCCAAAGATGGATATGTCACCAGGGGAATGGGAGGGGGATTTAACGTGGATGGCAACTGGAAGGTAGGGTTGGTTGGAGCATGCAGAGCGCAGATTCTCTGCAAACCATTCCCGAGTCTGCGTTTGGCCTCCCTGATGTAGAGGAGATCACATTGGGTGCAATGGATACAGTAGATAAGGTTGGATGAAATGTAGGTGAATCTCTGCCGGATTTGGAAGGATTATTTGGGGCCTTGGACAGCTGTGAGAGGGGAGGGGTAGGGGCAGCTGTAGCACCTCCTGCGGTTGCAAGGAAAGGTACCTTGTGTGGTGGAGGTGTTGGTGGGGAGTGTGGAGCTGATGAGGGAGTCGCGGAGTGAACGGTCCCTGTGGAAAGCGGACAGAAGGAAATATCTTTTTGGTGGTGGGGTCTGATTGTAGGTGGCGGAAATGTCAGAGGATGATGCGTTGGATCCGGAGGTTGGTGGGATGGTATGTCATCTCTGAGATTGTTCTCTGGGCAGCCTCCTACATGGTAACGTCAAGTGCAGGAGCTGCCAGCTTGATTGTCTGGCGGCTTCTGTTGGGTAGGACTTGCGGCCCCTGGAACCTAGTTCCAGAAGAAGGCCCTGATCTCAGAATTGAGTGACTGGCTGCGGATCTAGTGAGCCACCTCTGCACAACGCAGATCCCCAGCTGGCAGACAAGACCCGCGCTGCCAACTGAAGCTTCCACCCACACGTTCCTATGGCCATCCTCTTAAGCTTAATAGATGTGAACAAATGCCTCCCACGGTATTGTCAGAATACATTTAAAATTGTACTACTCATCTTGTTGGCACAATCAGTTTGTTGGAAGTCTGTACGTGAAAAAAACACAAAAGAAGTGAGGAATTAATTACTGAAATTTCTAGGTTGCAAACAACATGTGTAAACAAGTCGGCTGAGTATGTCCAAGACCATATCGCAGCACAAGGCTACCAAACTTTTCAATAGTGTTACTCTGGATGTTTCTGAAAGGAACTGTATGATCTATATGAAGGTCACACCATTGAAACATTAAGTCAAATATGGAAGTTTATTTGGAACTAAGTAGCAGGTTAAACAGTTGCTCATCTCTGTGGTAATTAAGTCCACTATTGTTGTAACGCTTTAGACTGTTATTACAACCGCATAGGAAACAAAAATCCTTGTGCTTTCTCCACTTTTGCACTTGCAGAGGAAGAAACACAGGAGAGTTGAGGGACCAGGCTAGGATCAGAAATGGTAGCATCTTGGGGCCCCGCAGGGTTTGCTGATGTTGGTGGAGTGAGAGGTGCTGTGGTGACCATGGTATGGTGTTGGTGTCAGATGTTTCCTTA